AAGAGTCTGTGCTCCCCGCTTTACTTCTGATTTATGACTTATGGCTTATTGTAGAAGGCCTATTAGGGCCATTCCATATGGTTATGCGACTATGCAAGTTTGTGTGAAATGCCCTTTATGCTTTACGTATTAGGGCTATCGCACATGAAATGCATAACAGAGCATAAACATGACATAAGGCCGCTAAACCAATGAGCATCTTATGTAAATCAATATGGTGACATTATGCTAGATGCTCATTGGTTTAGAGGCTTTATGTGATGCTTATGCTCTGTTATGCATTTCATGTGCGATAGCCCTTACGCGTTATGCATAATGCATAGTGCATAAACGAATCTACCAATCAGAATCCTTTCTTTCGTTTCACTTCACTGAACGGCGGGCGCAATGAGTTCTTTCATCAAATTGATATATTCCGTTAGATCCTTAAACATGGACCAATCAAAAGAAAGAGCTTACTGAATGCTCAATCAGCGGTTATCATTCTGAATGCCCATCGAGATCTGTAATTGACTCTTTGGAGATTTCTAGTTTTGTGGTGAGAGTGCAAACATCTAAACTATGTTCCGATATTCACTGCCAGTATTGGCAGTAACAAAGAGATTCTCGGATCTCTCTGTCCTATAGCCAATCAACGTGCTTGAAAAGTTTATCGACCGACACATGAAATATCGAGCACAGACCACTATTTCATTTGTGCGTTTTTGCCATAAGACGAATTTTTTAATTGATTGGTAGATTCGTTTATGCAATATGACTTATGGCCATTAAAGGCCGTAGCACACACTCTTGCATAACGCATAACACATAGTGCATAAGCGAATCAACTAATCAGAATCTTTCCCTTCCTCACATTCCATGAAAAACTAGAACTGTGATTGGTTGATTCCTTTATGCACTATGCATTATGCGTTATGCAAGAGTGTGTGCTACGGCCTTTAATGGCCATAAATCATATTGCATAAACGAATCTACCAATCAGAATACTTTCTTTCGTTTCACTTCACTGAGCGTCGGGCGCAATGAGTTCTTTCATCAGATAAGTATATTCCGTTAGATCCTAAAATATGGACCAATCAAATGAAAGAGTTCACTGAATGCTCAATCAGCGGTTATCGTTCTGAATGCACCCATCGAAATCTAAAATTGACACTTTGGAGACTTCTAGTTTTGTGGTGAGAGTGCAAAACATCTAGACTATGTTCCGATATTCCCTGCCAGTATTGGCAGTAATATAGAGAGATTCCCGGATCTCTCTGTCCTATAGCCAATCAAAGTGCTTGGAAAGTTTGTGGACCGACACATGAAATATCGGGCACAGACCGCCATTTCATTTGTGCGTTTTTGCCGTACGACGAATTTTTCAAGCCTGTTGATTGGCTATAGAATAGAGAGACCTCTCTGTCCTGCATACATTTATTTTACGACAGAAACGCACAAATGAAATAAGTTTGTCATATGTTTCCTAGATCGTCGATCATGCAATATTGAACGCTTAAAGAGACATGCTGATAATTAAATGTGATCATGACATCTAGGCTGCGGTCTACTTGACGCTACAAACGCTTCGAAGCGTTTGAGCGATCAATCAGAACAAAGAATTGTACGAATTGACTAATCAAAAAACGCTTCGAAGCGTTTGTAGCGTGAAGTGAACCGCAGCCCTAGTATGTGCTTCATAAAGTATTTGAATCATGTGTGAAAGACCGTGGCTATTATTATTTTTGCTGAAACCGTGGATCTTACGATATGTGTAACAATAGAATGGCGGTTTTCAGACCGTGGTATTAAAATTTTCGCCGAAACGGTAGTTTTCAGGTCTATATGCAGCACGGAATGGAATTTTTCGGATCAGTAGTATAAAATTGTGACAGAAATGGTAGATTTCAGGTCTATAATAGAAACGGATTAACATCAGAGATTATTTAGTTTTCGAAAAATTGAACAATAATAGTTACGTTTTCGAATAATCAATTTGGTAAGGCTCATCTTAAAAGACACAAAATTTCTGTAATAATTTAGAATAAAGCCTTGACCATAAGGACACTTCTTGTTCGCTTAAAATATAAATTTTGGTCAGCAGTTTGTCATATGATTCTTAGATCGTCAATCATGCAATGCTGAACGCTTAAAGACACGTGCTGATAATTAAATGTAATCATGACATCTAGTATGTGCTTCATAAAGTATTTGAATCATGTCTGAAAGGTCGTGGGTATTATTATTTTTGCTAAAACCGTGGATCTTACGATATGTATAACAATGGAATGGCGGTTTTCAGACCAATGGTATTAAAATTTTTGCTGAAACGGTAGTTTTCAGGTCTATATGCAGCACGGAACGACGGTTTTCAGATCAATAATATAACATTTTTACTGTAATGATAGATTTCAGGTCAATTTCAGGTCAAATATTTCACAACAGATTGACAGTTTTGAGATTGTTTATTTTTTGGGAAATATATATATATCACACGAACACTTCTTTTTTACTTGAATGCTGTTTTGAATGTTGATTTTATTCCACAACTTACTCGTATACTTACAGCTTATCGAATACTAGATGTCATAATTACATTTAATTATCAGCATGTCTATTTAGGCGTTTAACATGGTATGATCGACGATCTGGGAAACATATGACAAACTGCTGAACAAAATTTATACTTTAAGCGAACAAGAAGTGTCCTTATGATCAAGCTTTATTCTAAAGTATTACAAAAATTCTATGTCTTTTAAGTTGAGCATTATCAAATTGATTATTCGAAAACATAACAATTATTGTTCTATTTTTCGAAAACTAAACAAGCTCAGACGTCAATCCGTTTGCTATTATAGACCAGAAATCTGTCGTTTCAGTAACAATTTTATACTATTGATCCGAAAACTACCATTCCGTGCTGCATATAGACCTGAAAACTACCGTTTCAGCAAAAATTTTAATACCATCGACCTGAATACCGCCATTTCATTGTTACACATAGTATAAGATCCACGGTTTTAGCAAAAATAATAACGCCACGGCCTTTTAGACATTTAGATTCAAATACTTTATGAAACACATACTTACTTACGTTAAAGTCGTCGATTATTTTGAACGTGAAGTGCTACGCGCTGATAATCAATTCTAATAGATATATGTAATGAAATCGTCATTACTATATTATTTGTATTACCTTTATGTGTCTGAGGGTATTACAATTTTTGTTAAGACGTTAGTTTTCGATTTTCTCAATCGATACTTTTTGTCAAAGCTAAACAATCTTAGAACTTCAGTTGTTACCTGCAGTTTACACTGCGCAACATGTCCAATGGCAGTTATGGGAACTTAACAAATTTGATGTACTAAAAGATTGTATATTTGCTTTATATAACGTTTATCGAGTAATTAGTATTGCTACTGAACTGTTTGTGACTATATACAACATATATATAGCCTATCGTATAAATTAGAACATTTATACGCTTTTGGTATAAATTTATTTCATGTATTGGTGGTTTTGAGGAATTTATATAAAGAAATATACTAACGGTTGTTTTCAGGACAGTCCCTAAAACTACCGATAAATATATATAACTTTCAGGACTGACCTCAAAAGTACCAGAAGTCCTCGAAACTGCCGACGCATCTTAAAAATCGACCCGAAAATTGCCCTTCTACATACACATATATGTATACATATATATATATATATAAGGAAAATAATTACCTAAATATATACATACTTTCTGTTTTGAATATGAGATTTTAGAAATGACATGCATGACATAAGGGGCCATTCTGGTATCACACCAGAACCTGATGGCTGCATTTTCTGCTGTCGCAACTTCCTGCTAAATTGACTCCTCAAGGAATCCCAACGCTTTTTAGCTTCATCGGCTACAAATTTATACAGCTATATTTGATAGTTTCGTATTTTTAACAGAAATAAAATATTTTAACTTATACCTGTGCAATTCAGAGATTCAGAAATCGTTTTCCACTTCATTTCTTTCACTTTGTGATCTTTATAATTTGCGTCACTTTTTGCATACAAACAAGGATTTTGTTGCACAATTGCAATTAAAACCTCATCATCAATATCAATATTATCATTGTCGTCAATATCCGACATTGTGACAAAGTATAAAAAATGAGAAGTATACTTGGTTTTCCGTTACACTTTTCTATCATTGACTGAAAATTAAGGTTATATTGTTCGAAAGTTTTAAGTATTAAGTTTTAAGAGCTGGGATCTGGCCAGTTCGCTTAGAGCTAAGAGATTACAACTTAAGACAGCGCGGGAAACATTTCAGGCCGGAAACTACGTCACACTTAGGGCTTAGAGCAGAAGGCTAAAGGCTTAAAACACCTATTGTAGATCCGGGGTAATTGGTCAATTTTTTACGGCTTAAAGCTTAAAACACCTATTGTAGATCCAGGATAAAGACCATGGCATACACCTTCCGTAAGTCCGGATCTACAATAGGGTTTTAAGCTTTAAGTTGAAACAACCTGACTTTGCGCGGACGTAGCTCGTCGGTCACGGGCTGCGGCCAGGGTCGCAAAAAGGTTCGGCAAGGAGGAGAGAGATGCAAGGCGGTAAGAATGTGGTCGACACGGATTTTCGTAATAAAATGAGAGTATATTCTCTTATTGAAATACAGAGTGGATGTATGGGTATGTGTGTGTGCGTGTTGATACTAGTTGTCGCGGCTGGTATTTGCTGACGGCGGTGTGTGTGTGTGAGTATACAATGCGTGTCAGTGTGAGTGTGCGGTGTGTATGTGCAACGCGTATGTGTGTGTGCGGGGGGCACGATTCGCAGCGCGAATCGTGGTCGCGTGAATCGCTCGGTGATGCGGGATGCGCGGGACGCGGGCTTACACCGCTAGCACGTGTGTCGCTATGTCGCGCGACGCGTCGAAACGCGAGGAGCGAAACATACTTTCTGTTTTGAATATGAGATTTTAGAAATGACATGCATGACATAAGGGGCCATTCTGGTATCACACCAGAACCTGATGGCTGCATTTTCTGCTGTCGCAACTTCCTGCTAAATTGACTCCACAAGGAATCCCAACTTTTTAGCTTCATCGGCTACAAATTTATACATATTATAAATATATAATATATTTGATAGTTTCGTATTTTTAACAGAAATAAAATATTTTAACTTATACCTGTGCAATTCAGAGACTCAGAAATCGTTTTCCACTTCATTTCTTTCACTTTGTGATCTTTATAATTTGCGTCACTTTTTGCATAACACCACCGCAGTACTGCTCAGAAGTTCGGATCACCAGGAAGCGGTCGGTTGTCTAGAAGCTGGAACTAGGAGCAAAAAGCCCGAAATACTTGTTCGCAGGGCTTTTATACCGAATTGTTGCTCCCGCTCGTATTGTTCCGGAATCATTCGGTGACTCTCGGCGTGGAACAATACGATTGAGAGCTGCGGCGCTCGGCGTCGTTCGGCGACGCTCGGGTTTCGTAGACTTGGAAGTCTCGCGGCCTGCAATTGTTTTCGCTATTATGTCGAGCGCACCGCGCTCTCATCGCGTACAGTGACCGGGGGTCACCGTAGCGGCATCCGGCGAGTTGGTGTTGCCGGGAATGATGCACTTATGAGGGTGCATCGTTACAAAGTCATAAGAAATGGGCGAATCACAGTCGCTTATTCTTCTCGGATTCGACTGTAATTGGTCAATTTCTTACGGCTTAAGGCTTAAAACACCTATTGTAGATCCGGGTAACAGTAACCATAAGACGTACCGTAAAGGCCCGTCTACAATACACGGAGTAAGAAGTGAGAGTAAGAAATTGACCAATCACAGTCGAATGTGAGAAGAATAATCGACTGTGATTGGTCAATTTCTTACGGCTTAAGGCTTAAAACACCTATTGTACATCCGGACTTACAGTTGAATGTGAGAAGAATAATCGACTGTGATTGGTCAATTTCTTACGGCTTAAGGCTTAAAACACCTATTGTACATCCGGACTTACAGTTGAATGTGAGAAGAATAATCGACTGTGATTGGTCAATTTCTTACGGCTTAAGGCTTAAAACACCTATTGTACATCCGGACTTACAGTTGAATGTGAGAAGAATAATCGACTGTGATTGGTCAATTTCTTACGGCTTAAGGCTTAAAACCCCTATTGTAGATCCGGAATAAAGCATGGTGCAATGTAGTCAAAAGGAGTCATAATTTAACTTTAGAATTAATAAAATTAATTCATGGAAATAACTTTAGATTAATAAAATTAGTCATCTATTTTAAGCTTGTATATTACCGTTTATTTTGTCATTGTTTAAAACATAACAAGCGTTTAAATTATAATTTATATTTATATTTAAATTTATATTTTTTTTAAATTAATTATTAATTTTATTTTAAAATTTTTATGTTTCAAAAATTTAAGAATACAATAGTAGTTAATATAGAAATTTCATGAAACTTTTCAATTCTCGTTCGGTATCGTACCGTTGAGCGATACGTCAGTGTTCGTGTGGTCGACTGCTTAGTTGCGCCGCTCCTGACGGCCAGAATTTCATGCCCTGTGGTTGGTTATTTTCAAATGCTCACCGTTTGAAAACTATTGATGGCTTGAGATTTTGCTATTAACATTTTCGATTTACTTTTTCATGAGGAATATGTACGTTCCAGCTCCTGCGCTACCTTTGGTACACCCAGTATATGATTGGTTAATTTCTTACGGCTTAAGACTTAAGCTGGAAACAATGAAAGGCGCAGACAATAGGAACAGAAAATAAAAGATTTGAACCTATCAGAAAGCATCCATTCTAGTATATAACATTTCTGATAGGTTGAAATTTGTTGTTTCTTGTTTCTATTGCCTGCACTTTTCATTGCGTTTCCAGCTTCAAATTTCGATAATGGCTTATTGTAGAAAGCCCATTAGCCCGGACCTATAATAGGTTTTTAAAGCTTAATCCGGATCTGCAATAGGTGTTTTAAGACTTAAGCCGTAAAAAATTGACCAATTACAGTCGAATCCGAAAAGAATAAGCGACTGTGATTCGCCCATTTCTTATAGCTTAAGGCTTAAAATCCTATTGTAGATCCGGGGTAAACCGTAAAAACCGCAACACAGACTTTTGCATAACGCATAATGCATAGTGCATAAGAAAATCAACCAATCAAAATTTTTCTTTTCCATGGAATGAGAGGAATGGAAAGCTTCTAATTAGTTGATTTGTTTATGCGTTATGCGTTATGCAAGAGTCTGTGCTGCGACCTTAAATCGTAAGAAATTGACCAATTATAGTCGAATCCGAGGAGAATAAGCGACTGGAGAATGAGGACTAAGTCCGGATCTACAATAGGATTTTAAGCTTTAAGCCATAAGAAATGGGCGAATCACAGTCGCTTATTCTTCTCGGATTCGACTGTACTTGATTAATTTCTTACGGCTGAAGGCTTAAAACACCTATTGTAGATCCGGGGTTACCCCGCAAACACAATAGAGTAATAAGCTTTAAACTTTAAGAAATTGATTAATCGTAGTCATCGACACCTAGAATGGACCGCTGATGGCAATGGTGGGGGTAGAAAGACGATTAGAGTGAGAGGCAGG